CCAAATTTCATAACAGGCTAAACACAAGCACTGAGAGAGGAGAAGCAGGATTTCGCTTCTATCCCCATTCATTTGCTGGTCATGTTTCTGCCAACAGTAAGTAATCCCAGCTTACAAAATTCCTATCAGAATGACTTTCGTAAGCATTTGGTTGGCTCGGCTCATTCCGAAGTCCTTTTTTGTGGGACAGCTGGGCTGACACTGGACTGCTCTTTTTCAGTGGTTATGGTAGCATTTTCCTCTCTGGTGAATGATCTGGTGAATGAAATCAATAATTTTGGGGAATTCCATAAGTAGTTATTTTATTATAAGTGGTCTTTAACGCCACAGTTCGCTCTCCGAACCTTTTCACCAGGTTGCTTGTTATGGGCAAAATTTAAAAGAGCCAAAAAGCCGAACGAGTCATGGGCAAAAGTTGTGACCTCAGGCAGGACTCGAACATTCATCTAGACTCCTCAGCCCCACTGCCAGATCGGCTAACCGGCTCATCACGTTGAGCGTGTGAGTAATACAAGGCTACGGCGCAGAAGCAATTTATTTAGCTGAGAGGGCGGGAGCGGCGCTGGTGGTATAAAGGATAGCGGAATGCGTGAAGCGCGGGTTGGATTCCCGCCTGGGGTGAAGTCTTTTGCCCACTCAGCATTCCTCTAATCTATGACCAGTTATCATCGCCAATCTAATCGCTTGCCATCTAGTCATGGTCTAGTCATTCACCACTTGGCTATGGCTGCGCTCTTTCATCTCACGCAAATCTTGTTCCAGCCCCGCCTATTCCGGTGCTCGCTCCGCCCATCGCTAAATGGGTTTAGGGCGCACTTCCGTGATCCTCTGGTTTCTCAGTTTTCGGGCCCAGTTATTAAAGAAATGGACTGCGTTGATGCGTCCCTCCATGTTAGCTGAAATTTTTCCATTTATGCAAATGAGCCTATATAGCCTACAATTGGCGGTTCTTGAAAAGGAACGCAGGGTGTAATATTCTTGACGACCTGAATTTGTATAGGCTGTTACGTCCGCTGTGTGATGATGAATTCGCAACTGATTCCTGATAAGTTTCCGCATCGCGAATAAAATTTTGCCATTCACAGCTTTCCTATTGATTTTGATGATTTTCAGGTCCGATATTCCGCATGCGGTCATGACGTTGTTGAGGTATCTGCGACGTAGAGGGTTCGGTATAGCATGGAAGGCATTTCTGGGATGTTCAGTGGTGTTAATCACTTTCCAGATTGGCAACACATTTCCACGTCGTTCACATAAAGATCGACAGGTTAGTTCGAAGCTCGTCAAGAATCACACCACAATTTTTAAACCCTCGAAATCTACCTGGCATGCATGCTCTATATCTTGAAGGATGGAAGGGGCGTGGAAAGAGTGAATCCCTCGCCGCCAGGTTCAGCCTTAGCAGAGCGCAGGTGATCGTAGTCTTCTCTGCTAGCGCTCTCTGTTACGCCAAGAATGAATTTGGTAGTCAGGATGTCAAATAACTTCCGGACGCAGTTCGGCGACGGGGGGGCATTTTGCACTTTCGTTGCTTCACTAGTTCCGGTTTACAAGTCTCACTCTGGTGAAACCTGTGAACTCTTGTGAAGCTGGAGCAAGCTCGTCAAGCCATCATGGTAAAACCTGTCAACTCGAGAAGAGGCTGTCTAGATGGGTCGACACGTCGATGGAAAGTGTCAAACGTGCAGAATGCCCCCTCCCAGTTGCCGAACTGCACCTCACTGGTGCTAAATACCCCTCCCCCTATCGGACAGGTTATCAGAGGAGAGAACTAGAGGGAGGGGGGGGATCGTACGGACTCGACCAAAATCCCCAACCAGTGATATACCCTGGATTGGTACGCTGCATCCAATACAGGGCGCGTCCTCTCATTGGTGAAAGTTTTTGGAATTTTTGCAAAATACAACCTCCCCCCCCAAAAAAACTTCCCTCCCCTGGTACAAGCCCCTTCTTCATGCACCATCCCTACCAACCATGTTCCTACGAGCTCCCCACTTCCTACCTTCCGTAAACAAGTTTTCATCAGTTTTGGTGACCGAGAGTATTTTGGCGCAGGCGCCGGATGATTTTTAGCCGGGCGGATGTGATATTCATCTTCAGAAAGTCGATCTACTTCTGGGGCAGGTCTTCACGAAATTTTGTGATTTAGGGTATTTAGCGCCTGGCACTTTCACGCCGAAGGATGTGATAGTCGTGTTCAGGAGGTCGAAGTACCGCTGGAACAAATTTTTGGCCAAATTTGCCCTCCTAGAAAAAAGTCGGTAAAAGACGCATGATTTCGGAAAATTGGAGTAGCAGTGGTGAAACAGAGCCCAAAATCTCTTTCATTTCCGGATCGTTGACGGTTCTGATGACTAGTTTCACATAAAAACTCTGAAGCGGCAGTTGTTCAAATAACAGTCGCCATATTACTTGCTTTGCGAAATTAGTCGTGTTTGCGCAGCGAGTTCTCTCAATAGGAAACGTGTGCTTTCGTTCGTCAATGTATTAGCATGAGATACAATAATGTGGCGCTATTCGGCTTGGAAGGAGCATTTTGCACTTCTGCTAGTTCCTTTTGGTAGTTCATGTGAACAAGTAAGTATTATGGAAGAACCTGTAAACTCTTGTGAAGCTGCGATACAAGTAAGCCACTGCGTTTACAAGTATTTACAGGTGCTCTCAAGGGGTGACCTTGCTGATTACCACATGGTGCCCCCACCAAGCCGAACTGTGCCTAATAATGGATTGATCCGAGCCCAACGCTATGATTGTCTTAATCCTCTCCGAAGCACATAAGTTCAGGGAATCACGAAAAAAAATTTTTTACTGCCAAATATGTCAAATGCTTCGTTTAAGATTGAGATACGGGTACTTCCGGACATGTCGAAAATCCCAGATGGCGCTGAAAAGGAAGAAAACATCAATGTTGTTCCCCAACGACATGGCGGCAGTGCATTCATCGCTCATATCAATGGTGGAGTCAGGGAGATCCCTGTGAATCAGGTAAGGTTGCCAGAGAGTTGAGCAGCGCTCACAGTCTGCGCTGGTCGTTCGAGGGAATATATAGTACATGGGCGGAGACGGGCAATCTATGCCGCTCCGTCATTGGTGCCCCACTCTCTGTCTATGTCTTGACAAGGAGAAGCGCATCAGTGAGAAAGTCACAAACGGTTAACTGTCTCCGCCCCTACGGCTAGCGTGTGCTGATTGAGTTCGCAGAGAATTCTTCTTTGCGACGCATCAGGAGGATTTCAGATCACTGTTTATTCACAGTTCTTTTAGGAACCCAACGACACGCACAAGGCTCTGGTTCGACAGACTCCTGAACAAGCTCCAGGTGCTCCAGAAATGTCACCTCGAAACAGAGAGGTATTCTTATAACCTAAGAGGGGGGGGGCAGTCATTTCGAAGACCGTTTATGGTGGAATCGTAGGGCGCTGTTATCCTTGGAAGGTGCATTTATGGGACCTAACTGGGAAGAGGGATGTTAGCCTTCCTTTTGCACAGAGTTTCTCCCAACTGTCCCTCTCCAAGGTTATCAGCGCTGATTGTGATTTAATTCCCTTTTCTTCTAAAGAAAGGTTTTATAACCCTCGTAATCGTTTCTTTTTAGAAATGAGTTCTACGAGAACATCGTTGTCCATTTCGATCTGAAAGGAGCTCCACCGAGGGTACCGTATTTTCTGGAGCTTTTGGATCTAGTCGCACGATCGGGAGCCACAGGTAAGTAAAATGTTGCTGTGAAACACATCTACTTGCTGGAGATGACATTACTAGGGCTACCAGGGCTACGGTCGTTCTTGGTGTGGGGGTATGGTCCTTCAATGAAACGAGCAACCATTCCAAGGGCTGCTTTTTGGCCCTAGTGTAGGATAGCTGAAGCCGTACCTCATTATGGGCTGACGATTCTTCTGCGGGAAGTAGGAAGCATGTTCTTATTTAGTTGCTACTGGCAGAGGGATTGGGCTTGGGGCTTTAGAGATGGGTTGGCTCCCTTTCAGGCGTTTTACAACCCGCTCCGGGGGAAAACTGATATTTTCTTTTGGCTCATTTATTCTCTAAAAAAATTACCCACCTGTGTAATGCTCAGGGCACGTAATGCCGTTGAGGAAAAATTTTGCAAACTTCCACCTTAGTATCCCCCCCCCCCTCCAAGTTTCCCCCGGGTACGATCTCGTTCCCCATCCCCATTTGAGTTACCATCTCCTTGAATCCTCCCGACTTTCCACGACTTTTTCGGTGTTTTCTTTTTTCGGAACTTCGCGCACTTTCTAAGAAAAACTGGAAGGGTGCAGGAAGGGGGAGTGGGAAGAGGAGGGGTGAGAAAAGCTCACTTGGAGCAGGAAAACTGAGAACAGTCAATAGTCAAAAATTGGGTGGCAAATACGACCCTCATCTCCCAGCGACCAAATACCCCTTCGCTGGCTATCCCCAAGGTACAGCGTGCCCTGTTCATGCTCTGCTGAGCCGTGGGGATGCAACTGCGATAATCCAGATTTCTAAAGACCTCTTTTCAGGAATTCTCCTTGAATGGGAAGATATGTTTCCTTGGACGGGACAACTAGCAATAGCTAAAAATGATGATGCTTACTCAATGGATGAAGTGCGGAGTATTCTTAGCAAAGCAAGGTACATCATCGTGTACTATACTCCATACCCTAACGATGGGGAGGGCGTGGCTGCCACTTCATTTGAACGTGACATCGGCTGCCCTTTTGATGGGATATTTCTATCTGGGACAATTTGATCATGTCATTTGCTCTTGCCCAGCGCAAGACAGAATGACAGTTGTCACAAGTGGAAGTATCCTGTAAAAAGCGCACCTATGTTCAAATGAAGTACGCGGCCGCGCCCTCCCTAGCACCGGGATATGGTGTGTAGGTTGCTCCACTCTCAAGCAGTTGAGCCTTTACCCCTCTGAAAAGTGCCTCGGTGAAAGCAAATGCATTCGCTGCATTCCAGAAGCCTTAACTTGGATGTAATTCCATTAGTGCAGACGTTTGGTCACCTGGAGTGGGTTCTGAAATTGGAGCAGTTCAGAAAACATCGAGAGAACGATATGTATCCTCAGGTTTGTGAAAAAGCCGATGTTATGGTGAACATTCGCTCATGTTTTGCTAGGCTTTGGCTAGCGTCTCGATAGAATACTGTGGTTCAGAAAGGAGAGGGGGAGCTGACGGCAGCGCTACTTTGTCCCTTCACTGTTGCTTTCATTTGCTTTTTTGCTGCGTCTTCCAAAATTCAGAATTTATCTATTTCATTCCCATGAATTTTCAGTGTTTATGATAATTTGTGGAGGACAGTTGAGTGTTTTAAGGTTCTCTGTTTGGGTGACGAGGAAGGTGTGGCGTTGGTGAAGGATGCTTTGAAGCAGGTGATAGACGTTCACAAGGAATTCGGCATCAAATTCTTTCATATTGGAGCTGATGAGGCGTTTGAGGTAGAGTCCTCTGTTCACATAGAAAATTTATTTTTAATTTTTAATAATCCAATGTGCTACTGTGAGACTTTCTGTTGCGCTTTCTACATTCTGTAGACTTTTTATTCACATTCAAGCTTCTCTCCGTATACCCCATTATCCAGAGTTGGGGGGGGGGGCGTGGCTACGTACTTCATGTGAACGTGGAGGCCGCAGAACTTTTTGTGTGATATTACCGTCTCAGGAACACTTATCTGTAATCGTGCCTGTGTCCAAGCGGCGAGCACAGGACGACAGTCGTCTTAAAAATGAGAGGATCCCTTGAAAACCGCACCCTTCGTCATGTTCAAAGAAACAAGTAGCCACGCCCTCTCCATTCTCGAGATATGAGCTGTACATATGGTGATCAGTTGTTTTTCGAGGGCATCGCGCAAAGCTTCACTCCTTGGGATAATGTGCCGGGTGAGGAGACCCCCTGATTCAAGGGCGCGACTAAACGCCAATTGCATGTGTTTTTGCATCGAGCCAGTTTTTCCGAATTTCGTCGCCAACTTTGGATCTCTTGATCCACTAAATACTAAGCAACCGTAAATAAATAATAACTTAAATAGTTCATGATCACTCGGCACTGACTTTTCTCTGGTTCATTTCAGAAAAGTCGAGTAGGCAGCTGAACAGTATATAACTAACGTAGATTACTGGCGGTGAACCCTGCTACGGCTCTCAAGTCGGCATCTCTTTTACAACAACCTTGTTTGGAAGGAACATGACTATAGCATTTGACATCGAATCAATCAGGCCATGCCGGCGTACGCTCTATTCAGGGCTGCCAACTGCGCAGTGCACGATGTAAGCTGCTATGGCTTGCTTGATTTGGAGTAAACGACTGTGTCGAGTCAACTAGCTAGCTAGTAGCACTGCTCTGTTGCACCTCCAATGTCTTCACCAACACTCATTTTTAAAGAGCTCCCTAATTCCTGTGGAATGTTTAGTTTGGCGTCTGTACGAATCGCAAGAATGGATCAAGGCTCATGGACCTGCGGCCAATAAGCAACTTCTAGCCCTCTCTCATCTGAAGAATATCTCGCAATATGTAAGGCAGCTGACTACGAGTGCAACGTGAGTTCAGACTTGGTTTATTCGCTTGATACTCAAGGGAACTTATAGTAAATTGCACAGGAAAGTTAGGGCATCACATCAAACGGTGTTAAGCAACCCTTTCCTGATCACAATAGGCTCCTGTTTGGCATTTGAACCGCCCCGCACTCGGGTAATCCTGCAGGCCTCCTTCATTTCTTGTACAAGTGGTCGACCCTCTTTATGGAAAGTCCTACTTCCTCGGCTTCACGGAAGTACGAAAGCGCGCTGCGGCGCTTTCATAGGTGGCACTTGTACATTGAGGCTGCTAAGGGGTCTCCACGGTGTTCTCTATTTTTTTTTGCCTTTTGTACCCCTGGAGAGTCACTTAGCGACGACAGGTTGGTCATTGAACGCCACTAACCACAATGTGGCGGTTTTGCCTTTCATGGCTATTTTCACGGGAGTGAGCTGAGGTGTTACTATGGCCTGAGTGTAGCAAGCTTGTTCCCTGTGTAAGTAGAAGGCATGAAGTAACGCTTGTAGAGAGCCATCAAATATAATCCTAGTTCACTCCTAGTTCCTAGTTTCAGTGATTGATTCTGATTTCACTGGATTAGCATGAAGAAAAGATGAAGGACAAAGTGTTTGTTCATCGAACTCTTTCTGGAAATCCGGCAGGCATTCTACTTCCATCTGATTTCTTTTGAATGCAATTCTACCGGCTAGGGGGCTCCGACCGAAACTTGCCTCTCCAACTACCTCTGCGCTTTTGTGAGCACGTGGTATAGCACAGAAAGGCGCTCGGGAGAACGCTCTGAAGGGGCACTGGCATGAAAAGATTAGCCAATGACTATTGCGGCAGTTTACGTACGATCGGATAGCGCAACGGCTCTGCATCCAAACACCATTCCCTTATCCTCGGTCTCCTGCGCTCCTTCCTGCTCCTGACTTCCAGAGCATCGCTATATAGAGGTATCCCCCAGGAGAGGGTGGGTGGAGGAGTCAGACTTCCAACGCCCTGCTCATTGGCAGCTCTTTGGGCAAGAAAGGGGCTTCGAAAGGTGGTAGGAAGTTGGAAGAATTCAGAAGATGAAGTAGATAGGATGTGGATTGGAGTCCTCTCTCACACAGCAAGGTCGGTGCCCTGGATCCCACCTCCTCTCAAGACCTCGAAAAGTAGCGCATTGAGGTGCTCTGAAAAATATATTCATTTTAGTTATTGCCTGTTCTGCTCCCTAAACATGAAAAGAGAGAGTGTAGTGCCAAAAGCACGACAATGGGAAACGCAGAGAGTGCAACATGCCCCACCCCTTACCAGTCTAAAATGGCCTGCTTCTTCTTCCTTTCACTGTTACCTTTATTTTTCGCTGATGCGCTTGAATCACTTGTTGAAACGCGAAGCCATGACAGGGACTGATCTCATTCTACTGAGCGAATAATTCAGTTTCATCAACTGGTTTAACAATGAGAAGCGCTCTTGGAAGCACATCGATCTAGTTCTTCTTCTGTCCTCACTCCCTAATTCGATTTATGCGAGCTTCATTGTTATTGATTAATGTTTGTTGATGAAGAGAGTGAGATTGTAGTGGCTAAATGGTTTGTTGTATTGCGCAGGGGATTCCAGGGCAAATCTCTGATATTGGCAGCTCACCTACTGGATGTTCAAAGCATTGAAAGCACCCAGACTTTGTATGTCGCTTGACCCTGTAACTACCCAGTTCAGTAGACCCCGAAAGTCAAAGTTCTCGCATAAAAATAAATTCCAAGTTTCCAAAATTAAATACTACTTGAGTGTCGGCATGGGCGCATTTTTAAAAGGGAAGTTCAACGTAGGGATGTTCATTTTTCTTTATGTTAAACAGCGGTTTCACTAAACATCCGTTTCAGAGTCCTAGCCTGGCACGATATGCTCAAAGACTTTGATACACGACTTATCGCCCAGCTCGAGTTAGGCAATGTGATCGAACCCGTTATTTGGGATTACTCGGAGAATATCGTCACTATGCCCGGTTCGTTATTATTTCGTTCTCTGCCTACTAGACAGTGTCATATGGTGTAATGACTGTTAATGTAGAACAGTCCACTATCACTGCTGTTTATGCTATTTATGCTTGTTTACTTTTGTATACTTGTTTGCTGCTGTTTACTTTATTTGTTTACCCGACAGCCTCACTTTTTTTCGTGGGAGGTAACTCGCCTATAGGGCATTTTGAGCTCATCGCTCTGTATTCTCTCTGGAAAACATTCCGACGACTGTTTCCACGCTCATCGTATGGGCGGAGACATGGGCGGTGAAGTCAGACATTGTGGCTTTCCCATTGGCGCCCCTCTATACTGTCATGGATCGAGGGCGCACAATGGGGAAGGTCCGATAGTAGGCCTGATCCCGCCCGAACGATAAGCAAGCGTGAACTAAGTTTTTAACAAGTGTTCGTATTTCAGATGCGTCTTTTGCCCAGATCGCCAACAACTTTCCCGTAGTTTGGGCGTCATCAGCTTTCAAAGGAGCGAATTTCCCATCCGCGAAATATATGGACATTCGTCACTATGAAACGAATAACAGAGCATGGATCGATACGAAAATTGTGAGTTCTACACCAAAAATTCAGCACTTTTAAGCGCTAATTACCCGGAGAGAGCGAGAGGGGGCGCTTTGAGGATTTGCTGTGCGAAACTAGAAATACCATAGTGGAGGTGACTTCTGACGAATCTCAAAGGTAGTCGGCACGATTGCTGGGGCGGGAGGTTATCGCCATTGTCATTGGTGGAAGGAATGCGATAGGGCGTTTGGACACACCCCATTCAGCCCTTCCACCTGTGAGGATCGCACCGACCGCATTCACCCAGCAATCGTGCCCACTGCCTAAGTGGGGGAGGAGCTCCGAATTAGGTGAACGATTTCAAGAACGATTCGAATGGAATGTTCCCTAATCTGCACAAGAATCTTTTGAAGCCTCCCCCCTCAAAGTTATCAACGCCTACTTTCAACTTTCTTGGAAGTCTTCGAATGATCTGAGTTCAGAAGAACAGTCCGCGCTGACTAAACGGGTGGAGACAGTCAATCCAACAATTCATGGGCTCCTTCTTCATGCTCTAGTATAAGGAAAAGGGCACCAGAGAAGGGGCAAACTGATTGAATTTCCCCGCCCATGTGTTCACCGCAGACTTCGATTTTCAACCTTTCTTCAATACAGACTAATTCGGCAATTATTTTTTGTGAATTCCAGGCCCAGCAAGGAAAGTTTGCGAAATTCCATGGTATTATCATTACTGGATGGCAAAGGTGATTTTTTTAAATTATTATTGTGGGCGTGGGCCAGGAGATCCAAGATGCGGCGACGCGCAGAACGTAAATTGACGCGAGCGGCTTTTCCCAATCAGTTGACTACTACAGAAAAAAATTGTAAAAAAAAAAAAAGAAAATGAAGCTGACTACCAGTGGCGTGTCACTTGAAAGCAGTATGTGTGGTATCTACTTCGATCTCCTGAGCAACACTATTATTTTTGCCAATCCTCCTGCACGTTCTATTGTCTTTCCCATGACGACCAGCAAATGAAAATCGCGTCTTTTTCCCAAATGTTCCCAAGAAAAATCTTATGTTTAGATATGACCACATGGCGGCCATTTGCGAAATATGGCCCATAGGGACGCCGTCGATGGTACTGAACGTGCAGATTGCAAATATGGGAGCCTCAAAAGTGAGTGATAAGGAGCCTAGTCGTGGCGAAAACCCCCAAAGGAAAAATATATTTCAGGATTCCAAATACTGGCCCGAGACGAGGCAGCCCCGAGTGCTCGGATGCAGAGATTTCCATGTTGGCGGTTTGGATCTGGTCAGCAATAGATGTACCAATTACACCGGTAAATTGACCATTACTATTAGGTATAGCCCATTTATGAGGGGAGGAGGGAGGGGAAGAGGGCAGCAGAGTTGTTCTCGGCTCCATGTAATTCCTGCGACCCGACAATGGAGCACCGTTTCATGCTACCTGTCCTACATCATCTTTCTTTTTTCACTGGGAGGCGGGGTCTGGGGCGGAGTCATTTGCAAAAAAGGAGGGAATCACCGATGGAAAATGCGGCCTATGTTCTATATAATCCGCCTCAACTCAGGTCTGAAAACGAAATCAAGACGTTTGCAGGATTCGCTAGTACATTACTCATCTGTTCCAAGGCACTGCTCAGCAAACTATTGCTTACATAGAAACGGAGTTGCAGAAGAATCACCACATTATGGGTTGGCTGTCGCCGTACAACATGCGGCACAATTTTACTCAAAAATTGGTAAGTTTAAGCACCTGGCACTTCTTTCGGATACCAGGAATAGTCTGTTTTGAATTGAAAAAGTTTCTGATGGCCAACTCAATGCCTCTGTCGGATGCGCCGTGCGTTCTATTCCGCATTCCAAATTGATATTAAACATTTTGAAGCGCATTTTGGCTTTACAGACAAAAGATGCGATGCGATCGTTCATCCTCGCGCAGCGTCCACGCGGGACCAATAGCGTCCACACAGCTTTTCAAAAGCGTTCTGGCAGCGTCAGCGGCAAGGAAGTATAGATATCAATCGAGCGTCTGCCAGCGACCAGCAAAGTCTGGAAGTGGAGTGTACGGAGCGATAGGAGAGTAGCAGTTAATGGTAGAAGTGTGGAGAGATAGGAGAGTAGCACACTGCTGGTAGACTAAGATAGAGGAAATAAGAGACAGTTCCTGCTGCTAGTCGCTGGTGGACGCTGGTAGACTCTGCCAAACGCTGAATCGATAGCTATATTCACCTAGCCCTCAAAACGCTGCTGGTCATTGGTAGACGGTGGCAGAACGCTGGCGTTGACAAACGCTTCGAATACTGGTGACGAATAATGTGCGCTGGTGAAGTACGCAGCCTTATGGAGACTGGGTGATGAACGAGTCAGTGCTTTTATCTTAAATGACGTTCGGTAACATATGACTGTTATCGGAAAGATGGGCGCTTAAATGATCCTAAAATGGGACGCAGGCACGAATTTAAGGCCAACGGATCGTGACTGCTGTGCCTCAGCTAAACCTGTGTGTCTTTGTTCCCTCTAAATATTGCGCATTCAACTGCCAGTACGGTCCTGAGTGGTCCATGGCGCGTTTGATCGATTTGCAGAGGACAAGCAATGTAGCTTTTTTATCAGGGCTTTGTCGTTTCAGGTACCTTGGTCAGATACAGTTCTTCGTAAGCAGTCTTCATTCACAGATCAAATCGATTGAAATCAGCCTTAGGTATGTTTTTTATGTGGGTACGTACAGTACTGTCCCTGGAAGTGCAAAGCAGTTCATTATTGTAGAAAACGTAGCGGGGTAGACCGTGCTCAACTGGCACCGCCCACTATTTACTGCTATGATACCGGTTGCAGTGTCGCTTTATATTGTGTAAAGCTGTAGACATTGACAAATGCAGCTTAAGACGGCTGTCAGGCTAGTAGGTCACGATGGCTGGGGCGGAGCGGTTGCTGGCCACACGTCATTGGTGGAGAGGGCTGTGAGTGCGCGATTGACCGCACAGCCCTTCCACCAGATGACGTTGGGCAGCAACCGCGCCTTCACCGCGTTCCAAACTGGCTCTAGGTAAATGATGAAAAAGAGAAAAATTGTGCTAATATTGATTGCCGGAAATTGTTGCTCATCTACCAGCATTATAGCCTAGTCTGTTTCTTGATTTTACGTCATTTATTTCATCTTATTTAATTATTTATTCGTTTACTTCTCTTATTTTCACTTCAGAAATAGAACTATCTCGAAGTTGATTTTCGACACGCCGTCGACGAGTTCATCTATCTTACTATCTCACCGACAGTCGATCGATTACAACAATATTTGGACGAAATTAAGCGATTGTCAGCGGTGAGGGTCTACCCTAAGCGGCCGTTCCGCATTTAGAATCCTTCCTGCCAGTCAGTTGGGCCCACAGTAAAGTTCAAGTGTTACTCGCTCTTTCTCAGAAGGCCATACTTCACAGGAATTAGGCTCCTTAGCGGATTATTGAATGTCTCTGTTTTCGTGCTTGACATTTCGGAGGCAATGGGATGAATGGGATGGTGGCCGTGTTGCAGCCTCAGCACGCTGATTGGGTGAGCCATAGTTTTCCCACCAATCAGAAGCGAGAGCTGCTGTCCTGCCTCTTGGCTCACCCTCCCACTGCCTCCAGGCTGTGAACTGGTTTAGTTTAGGAATTAAAAGGAGGTAGATAGCTCATACAATATCCTGAATTTGTTGCATTTTTGACAGCCCTTACTTTTACAGTCGTGTTTCTGTTGATTTATTCTGAGGCTTTAATGGTTACTGTAACTCGTTCTCGTTGTCCTCTCCTTCTCCACTCAGGCCATTACTGCTAGATCGACTCTGTTGAGTGCTCAACGTGTTCCTTTTTGGTTGGCCGTTAAATTATGTACACTCTTTTAAGTTATATGTCATATTAATTCGGGTTCTGTGCGGGATCCACCATATCCCTGACGGCCCTTCACGTCATGTCTATAACTGTGTCTGTGATCTTAAACACATCGTCACGCTGGCTTTTCAGCTCCTTATCGGGTTTTCTGTTCTTTGTTCCGTGGTCCATGCGGTGTCTTAGTAAATATTTTCTACTCTGTTGCATTAGAACTAATTTAAAATAGTAAATATCTTAGGGTACTATCTGAAGAAAGGCAAGAGATCCTATGGTCTGATTAAAGGCAATGGGCACGATGGCTGTGGGCGGGCAATTGCTGCCAACCTTATTGGTGGAAGGGCTGAATGGGGTGTGGCCAAAGTCCTCTCGCAGCCCTTCCACCAATGATGTTGGCAGTGACCGCCCGCCCGCAGCCACAGTACCCACTGCCTTTAAAGATACACTCGTAGCACCACATGCGATAGTTCGTGTGACGGGGTGCGGATTGGAGAGCTACCAGGGACCAATGATAACATCCATGGTCCGCACCGATTGCCGGAAGGCTGTTCTGGCTGTTATCCAACCCACGCCCTCTCACACGCCCTATCGTTTGCAGGGATCATGACAATACATTCTGCAACTGCTCGAGAGGCAGGATCTACAGGAAGGAAGGGTCCTTAGGCGCACAGGTTGTGCTACCTTTACTCTTGGAATTAAAAGGCAAGAGCGCTGGAACCTTGCTATTGTCAGAAACCCCGCAGATAAAAAGATTTGGACGCTTTGAGCTTAGGGAGGGGCATTTCCCAGGGAAGGCAATGCCTCCCTGGCCGTACCTTCGCAGCGAAATAACATGTTGTGGCATGGTATG